AAACATGAACAGAACAGTCCAAAGAATATCCTTCCAAGCTGAGAAGAACAATGCCTTTACCAGAATAAGTGTGGTAACTCCATTCCCCTCACTCTTGGCTGCCTCAAGCCGGTTTCTAAATATCGGAAAAGCCCCGATGACACTGTCTCTGCTATCTAGCAGAGGAACATCCTCAAGGTCTAAAATTTTCTTATTTCCAGCAGCAATAAGAGGTCCCATCCAAGAATACGTAAGAAATCTGAAAATTTCGGCATTCGAATACGGCATCACCGTATCGGCACTTTTTTCGCACTGACTCTGCAACATCACTAACACTAGAAGCTCCATTCAAAAGGGTTCTTCAACTGATGTATCTTCAACCTCAATTCTAGGATAAAAAGCCACGATACATAGGAACAAACCAGTCATAACAAAAGAAACATCGGATACTAAACAATGAATTGGGAAATAAACATGTTTCTTGAGATGAACAATGTCCATAACAAGACTAAAACAAGAAACTGAAAAGTAAAAACCAAACCAAAATCTCAACAAAAACGGGAAGCTTTTTCGTTATGTGTAATTGGAGAATTGACAATGCAGATGAACATAGATTGCACCCCAAGCAAGTGCTTTTAGAACATAATCGGAAAGAGTTACCAACTTTTCCTCAGACCAATAAAAATAACTTAGCAAACACAACACAGTATTCAAAGTTGAAACAACGAAACAAGTTAAAGTTTGTTTAAACCATGAAACCTTCCTCTGCCTTAACCTCTCCTCCGAACCTTCTTTAAATCTGTTCACTACCCATAAACTCAGCAAGGAATGCAACAAAACCATGTGTAATGATGCAGAAAACTCATGAAGAAAAAGGGTTTTAGGAGAAGATCAAAACTAGTGGATGAACTCGTGAGTAAAGCTAATTCAGTATCGAAGCGTTACGTGAAAACATGGAGAGAGAGAGAGTCTATAGAGAATGATAGGTAAAAATTTTACAAGAGGGAAGAATTCTTGGAAGCTAAGAAAATTGGTTTTTATGATAATTTGGAATCATAATATTAACTAATAAAGAGTTGCAAAAATCATGGAACTTGTTTGATTTGAAGAGATCATAATTGGATTGTGTTAAAAAATTTATATTTGTATAAAAAACTTTGATTCCTTATAAAATTCAATGATGATAGTGTCAAATAAAGAGCCGACGACGGTAATGATCAAAAGAACTAAATAGTCATTTTATAATTTCATCGTCGCATAGTTAATTTAAATTAATTATATCATAAAACATAATTATCGTTATGTTTATGCATGATAACAGTCAGTCATAATTGTTATTTTTAATAATAACAGTAGCTTTTGTATTTTATGCTTAATAAAATTGAAACAGTTGTTTGTTAAAAAAACTTTGACATGCATTTTATAATATTTTTAAATATTATATATATATATATATATATATATATATATATTTAAAAGAAATTGTCTCTATAAATTGTGCTAAATAACAACTGCACATAAAACTTTAAATTATTATATATTTTATATAATTTTATTAATAATTTATTTTTGTATCTTAAAATTTATATATTTATCTGTTTTATAATTTTAAAAGTTTAATCATCTAACGTGAAATTCTATGTCAGTCTATATTTCATCTCCCACGCTAACACCAAGCATAAGCCGAAACTCCATGAAAAAACACTTGATCATTGCTCATTCTAATCTTGGACAACTCCACCGAAGGATGCTACTCTTTGTTCTAGCCCGCCTATAAGTCCAAATTCGTCTAAGCTCCGGACTTATAAAGCTGGGCCAGATTCCACATTAACCCAACAATTTACTTTTAGTAAAAAAAATTAATTCGTTACATGAATAGTAAAAACTCAGAATAAGAATACATTTGCAAAAAGTTCTTGACAAATTTTCTAAGATATAACGTTAAAAAAAGTTGGTCAACAAAAGCATGCAAAAAAAAAGTTCAGGGATGAATCGACGAAATGATTAGCGACAATCGTCTCACTGAATTCTTTTTATAAACTTATTGAAAATTTTTAATTTATCATATATTTTATATTTTTATTTATATTTTTAGTTTTTATCCTCTTAGAATTTTATAAATTTATCCCTCCTAAAATTTAAAAATATATAATTAATATAAAATCTTACGTCTATCTCTACCCATATCTAAATATTAACTTAACAAAATACATGTTAGATTTATTATTTGTTTAAAAATATGTCTGTTAAGGGTGTAATGTATTTAGGGGCTATAAAAAAAATAATGTATTAAGGGGAAAAGTGTAAAAAAATTAACCCTGGTAAAATTGAATAAATGTGTATGCATGTGAAATTGAGTGGAGTTGTTGATACGTGCAATCACAAGCAAATTACTATATGACAAAGATGGACTATCTATATTGCTTCTTAGCTCTCATAATATACATATTATTGCAATTCAATCATATAGTTTGATAATGTACTTCTATAAAAGTTCAAACAAGTTATTTGATAAAAAACATAACTTTGCGTTTTAGTCTTAGTTCTTAAAAATTATGTATTAGTTTTAATAAAAAAATCTGTATTAATTGATGATATTATATTTTTTACTTTATCATTTTTAATAAGATTTAATATAAAAATAATTATTTATATTATATTTTTTATCTATTTAGGTGACTAAATTTCCCCCCGATTAATGTAGGTGTTGAACATTACAAATGTTATCATTTTAAATGTATGGACCGTGACGACTGTTAAAAAGTTATTCTAACTTTAAAAAAATAATTAAGTCTTCAAACTTTCTTAAAGAATTACTTAAACTCCTTTAACACATTATCATATACTATAGGCTATCACGTTAGCATCACAAATTGTCGCATCAACATCATAGATAGTGATATTAATAAAATTTTAAAATCCTAACCGGTTATTAAAATCTAATTTTTATATAGCTTGAAAAAGAAAACTAATTTCAGTATAATTAAGAAACAATAATAAAACATCAAGTGAAAATTACCTAGATTTTTTTTAATTACAAAGAACATAATTAGAACGAAATTACAATAGCTTCAGTAGCGATGATAGAATTCAGCGCATAGGACAAATAAACTCTAACCCATCGATTGTCCTCTACTCAATTTAACCAACGAGTCTGCACTCTGCAACCTAATTTTACTTGCGAGATATATGACGAAATTTAATCTCTGAATCATTATGAAACAAAAGACGAATCGAGTCCACAAAAACAATGATTGCTGATTGATTGAGGGAGAAACATTGTCATTCCAATAAAGAAATAATAACGAAAACCCAAACAAAAAAATGTATTTAAAAAGTTACTAACACGTGTCAGCTAGACACACGTAAGAAAATTAATGATTTTTCTTAAGATTTTCATGTAAATCCCAAATTTAAACTTTATGCAATTTTAGTCAAACGATTCCAATGCTTCACTCAATCGATAAACTTTAAATTAACACCGACCAATCTATTTAAGATTCCTATATAATTAATTGCATATGGTACTAATGAGTTTGCAATGTCATCTTTCTTACCAAATTAATGGAAACCTTAGCTCTGACGCGGAAATTGAAACCTTTCCCAATATAAAAATATTAATACTTTTGTTTTTGTTGTTCTTTTGAGTTTCTACTCCGAAAATTACACACAATTGCCAAATTAATAATAAAAAATTAATCCTTCCTTTTTATGTTAAATATAAAAGCCCATTCATGAACCTAAAACTATGTAGTAAAAATCAATTATTTGATCCTAAAATTATTTTGGTCAAAGACAAAAAACACAATTTTGCTAAAATATTTTTTCGTCAGTCCCGATATTTTATTTTATATGATAAAACAAACTGCACGTCATCATTATCCAGAAGCAAAAACTCCTTATTTTATAACAATGAAATTTATTTTTTAAAATAAACTAATATAATAATAAATAGCATGACAAAGCGATACAATTTTCAAGGTCAAACTTAAACTTAAACTAAATTCAATGTCTAAGATCATATAGTTGCTCGATCAAAGTTGAAGCCTGCGACGGTTATATAGGTCACCATTTAGCTAAGTTTGGATCATATGATTTACTGCAAATAATAATAAAATCTATTTTCAAATAAAAAATCATATATTATTATAATTTAATTTGTTGATGTTAATATTTGAATTGTCACCGTTAAAGACAAGAAAAAAATTATCTTTTTTTAATCTTAACTTAGAGGTTTATAATGATATTTAGTTTTAGTGTCAAGTCTATGTTATAATGACTACTTATCGACATGTTTGTTATAAATATAACTATGTGACTATAGATATGATTTTGTAAAATCATGTGAATCTTTTAGAGATCTCGTCAAGAAAATGGGACTAGTTAGAATATATGAAATTCTAAAATCTATGAGTTTGGCGGATGAGATTTATTAGAAATTTCCTCTCATTCACGAGGTTTTGATTAATGAAAAATTTCCTTAAAAACAATTTTTAATAGATTAAATTATTGCTTAAAGAAAATATCTTTGAAACTATAATAACCAGTTAAGAGTATATTCGTAGATATAATACAATTAAATAAAAATATTATTATAACAATAATTTAAATCGAGACAAAACCTATCCAAAAGATTGAAAACCAATCTTACACACGTCAACGTTTATCATCGTAGAAACAATTTCAATACGTATTTTTGATGGTTGGTGTATTTAGTCCCTGTATTTCATGCACTTTGTTCTCGCGGGTGGGTCCTAAAAGCCTTGTGTCTATTAGCTTTCTCTATAATAACGTGTTGATAGAAGGCAAAGGTAGCTTCAACAAACAACCATCACCTTCAGCCCCATCCTTTCCTCCTAAACACTTTATCTCCAAGACAACAAGCAACACATAACACAACTCCCTTCCGTCTTCTTCTTCAACTCTCAGTTCTGTTTTTCTTCAACTTTACAGTTAAGATAACCCTAAACACTTCTCGTAAATCTCTCTATTATATACCCTTTTTCAAAGCATATCAACAGCTTAATTATAAGGTAACACTGGCTTCATTTCTTCCGGTTATGTCCCATCTAGTTCTGTTTTTGATAGCCAGACAGGTCTTGTCTGTTACCTCACATCGATATTCTGTCCATAGAGATGATTTCCCCGATGGTTTCATCTTCGGAACTGCTTCTTCCGCTTACCAGGTGAATTTCTATTACACTTTTGTTTTCCAAACTCGGTTTAGTCCGGCTGGTTCATATTCGAATTCTGAATTCATATATACCCAAAGATAGAACGAGAGATATATTTTCTTTGTATTTTATATTGATAATATGTTTTCGCTTAAAATTTTATAAATTCGTCTCGTAACATAATCGGTATTATATAGTACGAAGGAGCTGTGAATGAAGGAAACAAGGGAGATAGCATTTGGGATACCTTCACTAGAAAACCAGGGAAGATTATGGACTTGAGCAATGCAGATACTGCTGTTGATCATTATCATCGGTTCGAGGTGAATGTCAAATATATATATATAATTAAGCAAATATATGATTATTAAACTTGAAGTGGCAATAAATTAATGATAAAATAGCTTTTTCTATAATATTATTTTAGTATGAAAAGCATTTGGAAAGAAACTTTCTACCCTACCAAACCAAAAGAGAGAACAAAAAATAAAACATTATGAGGTTGAATGAAAGCTTAGTGCACCGCTAGATAAGAATCTTTCAAATTATACTTTTTAAAATATAGTAATACTTTGGGTTTGAGGTTTATTTTTATAATTTTGGGTTTAATTAAATTTATTTAATTTTATAGATTTTATTAAATTAAAATTTTAATTAATCAAGTAAAATTAGTGGTTGAAGCTACTTTAAGTTTTTTTTACTGATTAGTATTATTTTTGTAATGGATAGGATCCTATTCATTTAGGATAAGAATCATGATCGTAATAATAAAAAAATTAATTAATTAATTTGTATATAACTAATAAAGAAGATACGTCACGAATATATTAAATATAATATAATAAAACCACATGCAAGAATCAAAATTCATGCATAAAGAAAATATTTTTTTTACCAATAAAAAATTAGAGATAAGCTTTAATTTTTTTCTTCCTTTTGACAGAGCGACATAGAGTTGATGAAAGATTTGGGAATGGATGCGTATAGATTTTCAATATCTTGGCCCAGAATATTTCCATGTAAGTATTGAAATTTAAGTTTAATTTCTCTAATTTTGTTGATCATCTGATTAATTGCTTTGGAATTTACAACAGATGGAGCAGGGGAACCCAATGTAGAAGGAATAAACTACTACAATAGACTCATTGATGCTTTAATTAAAAAAGGTTGCTTATTAAAATATGCTTTCGAAACATATGAATTTTAAGAATGAATGGAAAGTTGCTGAATTTTTAGTTGTTTTTATTGATAATCAGGAATCAAGCCATTTGTAACTCTGTATCATTGGGATCTGCCACAGATTCTCGAAGATGAATACGAAGGATGGTTGAGTGGACAGATCGTGTAAGTACTACAGAATTCAAAGCACACGATAAATGTATGCAAAAAAAAAAACCCAGATTTTCACAAGGAGATTGCAATTAATTACAGCGACGATTTCAATCACTATGCTGTTACTTGCTTCAAAGCTTTTGGAGACAGAGTGAAGCACTGGGTCACCTTCAACGAGCCCCATAATTTTGCAATCCAAGGTTTCGACAATGGTGTTCAAGCCCCCGGACGGTGCTCCATTCTCGCCGGTCTACTTTGCAAGCACGGCAATTCTTCCACCGAACCCTACGTCGTAGCTCACAACGTCCTTCTTTCTCACGCCGCTGCTTATCACAGTTACTGCCGATACTTCAAGGTACAATTCGTTCGACGTCCGATAATAATCGATCGTGATTGAATCTGTTGTGACCGCAGTATTCTATTGTTTCCAGGAAAGACAAGGAGGCCAAATCGGAATAACATTGGACGCTAAATGGTACGAACCGATCTCTGATAAAGATGAAGATAAAGATGCAGCAAACAGAGCATTGGATTTTGGAATTGGATGGTAATATCTGATTGCTAATATTTTTTTCTATGTTTACAAACTGTTTGATTTAATGCCTATAAGAATCGGGTTCCTTAAATCTTTTTTCTTTTGGTTTGGTGAATCAGGTTCCTTGATCCACTTTTCTTTGGTGACTATCCTGAATCAATGAGAAGGCTTGTGGGAGAAAGGTTGCCTCAGATCTTACCAGAGACGTCCAAATTGCTAGTTGGGGCTTTTGACTTCATTGGCATAAACCATTATACTACATATTATGCTCGAAACGATCGAACCCAAATCCGCAAACTCATATTACAGGATGCTTCATCAGATGCCGCTGTTATCACTACATGTAAAGAAGCCATTGTTTGAGAATATGAAATGGATTGTAGATGCAGGAATTCGAGCTAAGCTCGGGTTCATCGAACATAATCTTTAACATATCTTTACACTAACAATATAAACATACATCTCCTTTGTTGTAGCTTTCCGAGGTGGAGCTGCCATTGGTGAAAGAGTACGTATCAGAAACTCGAATCCTGAAAACTTAGTTATGGTATTGAGGATTTAAACTGCGATCGAGAAACCAAATCATTGCATACATAATGAAGATTCGTGATCGCTCTTTCAATTCTCGATAGTTGCCATATATGTATATTTTCCAGCTGATAAGAACTTGTGCGTGTAGGCAGCTTCGAGATGGATAAGAATTGTCCCATGGGGCATTAGGAAGTTGGCAAGATATCTGAGAGATAAATATGGCAATCCACCTGTTATAATAACAGAGAACGGTGACTCAACTTTCAGGCTTCAAAGTTTTGCTTAAAACCTTAAAAAAAGCCCATGAAATGATTGACAATTTCGCATTTTTGCAGGTATGGACGAACTAAATAGCCCATTTATTTCCATCAAAAAGGCTTTGAAAGATGACAAAAGGATTGGATATCACAGGGATTATCTCTCAAACCTATCAGCTGCTATAAGGTAATCAAAACTCCTGCTAACAACATTGTATACGTTAGTTTATGATTCCGGCATCGCAATAAACCCTAAACACGAATGCACCATAATTTAGATTGTCGTCAGTTTTTTTTCTAGTTATCTTAAAGTTAGCTGACGAGAAAAAAAAACTGAAAAATGATGGAACACAGGGAAGATAAGTGTGATGTTCGAGGGTACTTTGTGTGGTCATTGCTGGACAACTGGGAATGGAACAATGGGTACACCGTTCGATTTGGACTGTATTATGTGGACTACAAAAATAACCTGACAAGGATTCCCAAGGCTTCAGTTCGATGGTTTAAGAGTCTACTTAGACAGAGAACTTATCTTTCAACGAATTGAGGAAGTATACTTATATTTTCTTCTTGTTGAATCATCAACATGTAAATGTCATACCATTCATGTATTTCAAAAATGAAAAATAATATACTGATTAAATATAGGATTATTATTTATTACACCTCGATTGGTTTTTTACCCCTAAATCATCTGCCCTACTTTTGTAATTAAATTTATATTAAATGCACAATAAAAAAATCATACTGAAAGTTAAAACCTATCCATTTAAGATTAATTGTATGTAATGTCCCTTAACTATCATCCATCATCCATATTTTAATTTACTTCCCAAATTTTAAAATATTTCAACGGATTCCTTGAAGTATCCATTTTGTATCATTTTAGTCTTCGTCACCCTAATTATCAGTTTATCTTTAAATATTTGTTCAATTTTGAAATGAATCAATTTTTAAACATATGTTATATGAAAAATTTAGACCTAATGTGTCAAAAAGGGAAACAACTCTTTTAAATTTATTAACATTGTGTGTTTTAACACGTTAGGTTCAAATTATGAATACACTAAGTATTCACGTGTTTATAATTTAATTTATGTATTTTAAATATGTTACGCATCATATTCAATTTGGCATATACACATATGAATTGAAAACCGAGATAATGGAAATGCTTTATTGATTTTTAATGGCTTAACTAAAATAGTTTTAAAATATAAGAATCAATTTAGAATCAAAACGATAGTCTGGGGATATTTGATAGAATTAGCTCATTCATTTAAGATGGAGCTTAAAACGAATCCTAATAAATTCCAACAAGAAGCAAAGCATTCTCTCTTAGTAATTAAAACTTTAAACCCAAGCCTCTCTCTTTCAAGCTTTTTTTGTAGTTTACATTCTTTTTTGTTCCTCTACCGTATCGAATCCAGGCCCCTGGCAAAAACCAAACTCTCCAAAAAGGAACACCCACTTATGATTTGCCCTGTTTTTTTTTTCCAATAAAAAGACACCCCCAAGCACACAGAATACAAAATCACACATTTGATACTTTTCTTGCATACACCTCAAAACAAAACAAGTTCTGATTTTATTTTGTTTGATAAATTTTTGCTATGAAACGTGGATACTCTGATTCTCCTTCTTCCTCCTTTGGTCCACCTCAATCCAGGTTCAAACACAACCCTGAAGGTAAATTTCTTGTTGGGATTTGTTTCTTATGGGTTCTTTTTATTGGTTTTCTTGTGTAATCATTATATTATTTATCAGTACCAAGATTTTGGGTTTATTTTTAAAATATTCTATTAAATTATAAATTTGTTTGGTTAAAGGAAAAACAATGGGTATTGGTTTGAATGATGGTTTTTGGTAATGTGTTTTGAAGTAAAAAAGATCCTATTTAGATTGTTAAGTGAAGCACTGAGTAATTGAGATTTTATTGTTGAAATATTTGCATTGAAGCTGCCAAATTTGTGTTCTAGCTGAATGAAAGGAAATAAAAAGTTTCAATATCGGTGTATTTTTTTGTTAATGAGTTGATTTTTGAACTTGGGTCTTGAGCTTCATAAGCTTTATCTTGAGAGATCAGGAAAAGAATCCGAATTGTGATTGCTACAAAACTTCTGTTGAGGAAGCTTCAGTTGTGTGTTGTGATATTAGGTGATTCACAATTTTTGGAGGATGAGAGCACCAAGATTATTGCTCGGAAAGTGGCCGATCATTATAGTGCGAGAACAAATCAAACTTTGGAAGAACGTGAAGCAAGTCCGATCATTCACTTAAAGAAATTAAATAACTGGGTACGTTGTTGAATCACATGAACTGCATTGTGAACTTATGGTATGTTTTTGACTGTTTTTTTTGTTATCATTCATGTTCTTCTTTGAATTGACAGATTAAAAGTGTCTTGATTCAGCTTTATGCTCGTCGGGATGATGCTGTTCTTGATCTTGCCTGTGGCAAGTTATTTTAGTACCAACCTCTATTTGTATTTAACTGCCTTTTTATTCTCCATATTCAACGTATACTGAACGTTTTGTTACTGTTTTCCTATGAGGTTTAGGGTGGTGATCTCATCAAATGGGATAAAGCAAAAGTTGGATATTATGTTGGCATTGATATAGCTGAAGGATCGGTAAAGTGCTGAACACTGACACACACACACACACACACACACACACACACACACACATATATATATATATATATATATATATATATATATATATTGTGTATCTGATTTAGTAACCTAGTTTAGTGTTGTGCATCTGTGGTATATGTGGGACTTCGTTCAATATTTATATCATAATTATTCTGAGCCATTAATTTCCTTAAGCAACACCGTTGTAATGATGATTCATTGATTTGATTTGCACACTTTAATTAATCCTTAGATTTGTTGCAAAGCTTCTTCTACTTATGATCTCATGAAATAATCTCAAATTGCAGTTTTTCTGAAACATGAATCTTATGTGTAGCTTTAAAATTACAAATAGCTCGTGTTTTTTTGAAACCCGTTAATAGCCTGCTGTTTATTCGTATTTCTATATTCATTTTACTTTTTCCATTTATGAACAGATAGAAGATTGTCGCACGCGATACAATGGCGATGCAGACCATCATCAACGTCGCAAAAAGTTCACTTTTCCTGCCCGTCTCATCTGTGGGGATTGTTTTGAGGTAGCACCATTGCATTGAATGATGATAGTCACTTTTGAAATACATTTTCACTAGTCAGCTTACCTACTCTGGTTCTGGGGTTAATTATAAGAATAAACGGCATGCTTAGTCATGTTCAATGCTGACTATTGCTATATAAAACTGATGGCTAAATCAGTGAAACAAAATATCCCTTTCGGAATACTGGAACTCAGGGACAACTTATTAATTAAGGATGTTCTAGAGGATATGTCTCGATATTTATATTTTTACGATATTCAGGTGCGCTTGGATAGAGTTTTGGCAGATGATGCTCCTTTCGACATCTGCAGTTGCCAGGCGAATAGTTGGAAAATCGTCTATTATATGTCTATATTACTGCTGTCTGATGATAAAATTACTGCAAAGGTTTAGCACAACATTAGTAATTTTTATCTGCGAATAGCAATTTACTACCTTGTTTGCCTTGCCACTAAATTGCTTACTATTCAAAACTTTGGGTTCAAGTTCTTTAGTTTTCTTGAAAATATTGATAATAAAATGCTACATATAATACTGAAACCGTAAATGTAGTTATAATGGATGTGCACTTAATCATGCAGTTTGCCATGCATTATTCCTGGTCTACAGAGGCACGGGCACGTCGAGCATTGGCCAATGTTTCTGCTTTACTTCGTCCAGGGGCACCTTCATTGGGACGATGCCAGATGCCAATGTGATAGTCAAAAAGCTTAGAGAAGGTTTAGTGTTGCAACCTGCTTTTATATTTCTTGACTTGAAAACGATGCTCTAGAAAATCTATATAACTAAAACTCGTAACATGATTGAATAAGAAATTTGGTTTCGTACCTATCTGAAAGTTGGTAACATAAAGTGACCAAAGCTAGCCTGCCTAGTAAATAACAATTTTTAATTTCGTGGTTTGTTTAAACCAAATACTGAACCGGTGACGTAACCTTCAATCTTCTTGGTAAACAAATGTTGAATACTTTTTGGGCATGGTGGAATACTTTTGTCATTCTTGATTGGGGATGCTGTTTTCACTGACCGTGCAGCTGAAGGATTGGCCATTGGCAACAGCGTCTACTGGATACGTTTTGATGAAGAATGTAGTGACAAGGTGAATCGCCCCCTCCATTTTTCTAACCATATTTTCTGAAAAGATATTGATGTTAGCAACGAGTTTTCTTGGATTCTGACATACTTTTACGACCTGGTTCGGAAATTTAAATCTTCCAGTCCCTTTGGTATCAAATACAAGTTCCATTTAGAGGTACGTATCTTGAAAATTCCTTTTTCAGAAACCGTCCTTTCGTATTAATTTATGGGAGTTCTATTGCTTTTATTATTTAATTTGAGGGGATGGGGGGAAGTGATCTTAAGGGTTTGCTGGACATCTTCTTGCAGGATGCAGTTGACTGCCCAGAATGGATTGTTCCTTTCCATGTCTTCAAGTCATTAGCAGAAGAGGTACAGTTAATTTGTTAAACTCTTGTACCAAAAATAACTTTGTTAAATTCGTAATTTCTTGCGTTGGTCTTTGCAGTATGATCTAGAACTCGTTTTCGTCAAAAACTCGCACGAGTTTGTTCATGAATACATGGAAAAACCAGAATATATAGAGCCTATGCGGAGACTTGGTGCATTAGGCGACGGTAATCAAGATCAGAGTAAGCTGTTCACTTCACCCATGGTTCATTACATCATTGTCTCATTTCAATCATTTATACTACCATTAATTTTTAGTGTTAGACACTGATTAACTATACTGTCTTTGATCTCCCACCGTTGTGTACAGGCACGTTATCTTCGGACGAATGGGAGGCGGCTTATTTATACCTTGCATATGTTTTAAAAAAGGTTGGTATGGAACCCTGTATCGTATATTCATGTGTTTGTGTACTTTATTCCAAATTAAAATTCTTAAATCCTTTTTTCAATCGGACATTACTAACCCATCAAAAAATCTTCTATCCAGCGCGGCCAACTGGATCGGACACAAGCAAATAGCAGAAAAGATAAAGGACAGATGCAAATAGCAAAGGAGGACATACTGTATATCAATAGTGACGATTAACAGGGAAACCCTCTCGATGATGAAGCTTATCCCCCATCGTCTCACTGGCCGACCTAGGAAGAATGTTTTTATGCGGTGCTAACGATTTAATAACTATCTTTGTAGCTCCACCCCATGAATTACATAGATTTATTCGGAAGTCCGAACGAAACAAAAATAACTGAGGGTGGTCGAGTGCATGGAGCAATGCATGCCTATGAACCCTATTTTCTTTTTCGAGGCTCATTTGGTTTTGTAGGTTTACAAATTGTTGTTGTAAGCCATTACTTTCAACATGAAGTTTCTAAGTAATTGGCTGCAATATTTGTAGGGGAAAGATTAAAGAAACAATTGAGTTGAGAATCGCACAGGCTGAGGGTAAAGAAAGCCGATATTGCCTGTTTGGATGTGTCTTACGTAAGGTACGTGTATATGAACGCTGAAAAGTACAATATTTCATTGTTAAATTGGCTTTGATTTTTACGAACACGTGTTATCATTTTATTGGATTAAAAAGTATTCTGAACAGTAAATATAATATTCAGGTATCAATCAACTATTATTAACCAGCCGTCGATTAAAGGCTATTTGATAGCTGTATAGCATTGTCTTCCACAAGCATCCAAGTGAAAAATGACGATATTTCGTGTTGTTTTGTAAGATCGACAAATTCTCATACTTTTAATCTAGACTCGTTTAAGAAGCACGACCATAATAACCATCACGGCCAACCCCATTAGGCTAGCTCCGATCGTCTTCTCGAGATAGTTCGATCCAGCACTTCCTTTCTCTGTTTCAGCATAGGGTAAAGTGAAGAGGTTCTGCAGGAAGTCAGTTGCTTTATTAGCCATCTCAACCACACTTGTCTTGAACTTCTCTACAAAATCCAAAAATGGATTCCTGCCTTGGGGTTGATTTGCATCGATATGCTCTTCGATCTTTACCGAAGAAGATTCATATATCTAAGGGGATCCATTATTTTCAAATGTATACTCTGCAACACATTCATTCTTTTAACTTCAGAGAAGAAAAGAGAGCATCAAATATTGAAACCACTACATAAAATTCTCACTGGTCTTATGCGACCGGATGAAGTCGATGTAAGCCGGACTGTGCAGTACAGCATTCCATACATTTGGATCGGCGGCAATCGACGCAACAATAGACTGTGAGCAAAACCAAAACCAAAACCAAACAATTAAGCCTCCAAGTACTTTTGCAGATCATAACTACACTATTAACATTCTGTAGTCTGTATGAGAGATTCGAATTCAAACATGTCAAAAACTAAACTAAAAGAAATGAAAGAGTTAACCACAACCTGAATTGCAGGACTCTCATTGAGTAATTTGAACGCCTGGGCAGCAGGCTCTGGTGCTAAAGTGGCTTTAATATCATCTGCCTCCTCCGAAAGCAATGATGAACCAGACGAATGAGTACCGTCGGTCCAATTTGGAGGTGATAGATAAGCCCTGACAACAAAGACCAAAAACCACAGAAAAATGATCAAACAGATCAGGAAAGCAACATGATTTTCATATATATAACAGAGGAAACCAATGATGTAAACATCAATGATCTCATTCTCACGTCGCCCTTGAAGTAATCAAATTCAGTTCATAACTTAAAAGATTAAAGTGTTCTAGTTTGGGGTTCTTGAAATCAATCTTTATAAGCTAATGGTAACCTATTATTGGATACAAAGTTTTAGTCGATAAGAAATCATGTTTCCCATCACACAACTTCAAAATTTTCATGAAATTCAAAATCTTAAAAGGAAAGGAATGATCATTCATATATCAGATTATTGTCATTTCAAATTTCATAAAAATGGATCCCATAGTGAATAAATGAATCCAATGAAAGGAAATTTATTAAGAAAAAAAATCTCTCAAAGCAATGATCTTTACTTATCCAATGCATCTTTCAAATCAGTAGTGGCTTCTTTAGCCTCCTCAAGGGTTGGAACACCTCCAAACAACACCCGAGCCATCGGCTTTCCTCCGCCACACCTCCTCTTCAACATCGTCAGCAAACTCCCAATCATCCACCATTTCCCATGACGCCGTCACGTCAGAAGCGGAAGAAACTACACTGCCAGAAACAGAAATTCCGGAAGAAGCCGAGCGAGAAGCGGATACGTGCATGACGCAGCACTCCGCAGACGACGGAGCTGCCTGAACACCGACACGAAGGCCGTCCTCATTACTCCTCCGCCCATTTTGGTGGATCAAATAAAACTAAGAAAAATTTAAAAAAGGAGAGAAAGAAAGAAGATTTCGGAGATATTAAGAGAACGATGGATTACACTCAGTTATCCATAGACATTGGCTATTTATAAACGATTAAATAACTAACTCATTTGGTGTCAATTAATGATAGTCATTAATGAGATTATACATGATTAAAAGTATAATTTATTCTTTATTTTCTCAAAATTCTCATTGTGTTTGCCCATGAAGAAAACAAAATGAGAAATAGCAATTTTTCGGTGAACTTTTCTTCTCAAATTCTACAATATCATTACAAAAAAAAAAGATCAAAGAAACTGCTTGAATTCATGCTGGAAAGCTTCTTCCAACAAAAAACGAGAGGCTTCCATCAACTCAGGGCTTAACCTAAACATGAGAACACAAAACTCCATCTGGTTAAGAACTCCATCGCCATCAAAATCACCTTCTTTAACCACGGATCTCAAATCATCGTCACTCAAATCCTGCAAACCCAACAACGCCGACTTCTTCTTCAGACTATCAAAAGTGATCACCCCTTTTTCTCTATCCATCAACAAGTTAAACCCATTGCAGAGTTCACCCATCAGACCTTCCCCTCCCAGATTGTTGGCCATCACGGGCAAGAGATCCTCGAAACCAGAAGAAGATGAATTTGCAGAAGCTGAAGGTTTAGCCATTGAAGAAAAATAAAGAAATTGGGTTGATTGAGAAATGGAGTGGAAAGGAGGAATATATATAGAAGAGTTGAGAATTCCAGGAAAGAGTCCCTTGGGAAGACAACTAAGATACAGGTAATGTGGCCGTGAAAAGGGAAATATCAAATTGATCAGTTCAGGGTTTTGGAATGTCCCAACTAAGATACAGGACTTTTTTACGATTAAGTCCTTTTGGTTTTTGACTTCTATGACTATCATCGTTGCTCGGAAATTCACTACAGTTGGTCTTTTAGTTGACGAAGAAACCCCACACAACTTGCCAATATCACGGACCTGGAATGTTGGCTTAGCAAAAATTATGACCCCCTACTTGCTGATGCTAGCATGGATGCTGATCATGACATTTATATGATGTTATGTTCAAAGTTTATCTTTTCTCGTGTAGATGTCACGATCCGCATAAACATAAGAGTTTCCAATATATTTATCTAGAAAATTAGTATGTTAAGTCAAAGTTTACCTCTTCTCAGATATGCCAGTATGGATGCGGATCATGTTGTCTGCTCGAGACTGGGATCGTAGAGACGTAGACACATTTCCAATCAACTGAATATCGATATAACAAAAAAGGATAAACATTTTTTAAGAATCTTGTTGGAAGTCATGAATATAAATACATTTTTTTAGAAAAAAAATCATTATGTCTTAAAAGTTGGATAGATAATGTAATAATTTATGGTAATTGTTTGGATTATAATATAACTAAGGTTGTGTAAATTGTGGTAACAGTAATAGCAGTCTATTAGCTGGTTGGATCTTGGAACAGGCCTTACAAGCTTAAAATTTCAAACATTAAAGAAATCTCCATCTAACCATGTGGTCCCAACAAGAAAAGTACTGGAATTTCTCCATGTGATTAGGTTCAAGTGTTTCTACATCAAATGAATGGATCTGTTTGTTTATTCATAGGAGAAAGGGGTACTATCTACAGCCTTCAGCTAGCTTACAAACGGACAATTTTAATCTTCTTAAGGTATGTTCTTCCAGTTTCTTTGTTTTTCTTAGAATTTTTTTTTTGGGAATTTCACCATCAATATTCTTCTGGTTTAGTCACTAAGATTTCTTGTGCGTAAATTTCCAGATACTCTGCAAAAAGCCCATATCTATGCTTCACCAGGTTGAACTTGTTAAGGAACCTGCAGATACTTTGTGTTCTGTTCATCATATGAAATTTTGGGGAGGCCTGTTCATTGTAGAGATATTTTGTGATGAAATTATAGGTTCTTGTGGGAAAAGGGAATAGGAAGGAGGCAGAAGTGTTCAAGTCCTCCATGAAAGATTTTATTTTGCTTCTTCTTTGCTACTTTCTGATGCCTCATGCAATTATATCCACCATAGTTGATTCCATAGATACAGCTCACTTTATTAGAGATGGTGAGACCATAGTTTCGGCTAGCAAAATCTTTGAGTTTGGATTCTTTAGCCCCGGTTTTGCCGCCAAGCGATACTTGGGAATATGGTACAAGAAATCAGTGGAGACCGTTGTTTCGGTGGCCAACAGAGAAGTTCCCCTAAATGATTCATCTGGTGTTGCAAAAGTTACAAATCGGGGAATTCTTGTCCTTATGAATGGTAAAGGCAAAACTATTTGGTCTTCCTACTGTTTGAGACTGGTGCATTGTCCGGTTGCACAGCTACTGGATTCCGGTAATCTTGTTGTGAAAGATGATTGGGATAAAAGCTTCATATGGCAGAGCTTTGATCATCCGTGTGATACACTGCTACCAGGCATGAAGATGGGGAAGGGCCTCGTTATGGGCCAATATCGGTATCTATCATCATGGAGAAGTTCTGATGATCCTGCTCCAGGCAACTTCACATTCGGATTTGTTCTGTTCTTGGTTCCGAAAGAAGGTTCCCCGGTGCAATTCCATTCGAATGAAAATGAGGTATACTATGGATACATTCATGGCCTTCGGCATAGCTCAATTCTTACAAGATTAGTGATTAGTCATAATGGAGATTTAAGGCATTTCAAATGGACTGATAGAAACCGACATTGGGTGCATTATCGTTCAACTCAAGAGGCTACTTGTGACAGTTACGGATTGTGTGGCGCAAATGGTGTCTGCAATCCTAATAACTCCCCCGCCTGTGCTTGCTTGGACGGATTCGTGCCGAAAAACAAGAAAGAATGGGATAAAAGACCAGGGTCAGGTGGTTGCATTAGAAAGACTCGACTGAGCTGTTCTGGAGATGGATTTAAGGAGTTCCCCGGAGTAAAGTTTCCAACCTCAGCATCCGACTTTAACACCACAATGAACCTTGAAGAGTGTGAGTCTCAGTGTTCAAAGAACTGTTCCTGCACAGCTTATGCTAATTCAGATATACGATATGGAGGAAGCGGGTGCCAGCTCTGGTTTGGTGAGCTGATTGATATCAAACAATCCACTGGAAGGGGACAAATTATTTATATACGAATGGCCATGTCAGAAATAGGTATGAAACTCTCCTCAGCCCTGAAATTTTTTAGCCTAATACTCTATGTTGATAGCAAGGAAAGAGCTTTTTCATACTACAAAAATTTGGTAGCTGGAAACAGCTTAAGATGTTCTATAATGCAATAGTTTCTCGCATAACTTATGGTATATTGGGGTTTCGGTACTACTTGCTGAAACAAAAGAACCGGCATGAGAGATGCATGGCAGATGAAAAACTCTTATCAGTCTTTTATTAATCTCACTTTCTTTCAATCTTTTGTTTCGGGCGTGATTTGTTTTGTGTTGTATAGATGAAACTCGGAAGGGAACGAATAAAACCACCGAGAAGAGAAGGATGTGGATCACAGTCAGCTGTGGGTGCTTAACTGTGGTGGCCATTGCAGGCATAGCCCTGGTCCTTTTTGTCTGGAGGAAGAAAAACCAGAGAAAGGGTAATTCTTAAAGCTGAAAATCGTATATACATATACATATACATATACATATACATATACATATACATATACATATACATATACATATACATATACATATACATATACATATACATATACATATACATATACATATACATATACATATACATATACATATACATATACATATACATATACATATACATATACATATACATATACATATACATATACATATACATATACATATACATACATATACATATACATATACATATACATATACATATACATATACATATACATATACATATACATATACATATACATATACATACATATACATATACATATACATATACATATACATATATATATACATATACATATACATATACATATACATATACATATACATATACATATACATATACATATACATATACATATACATATACATATACATATACATATACATATACATATACATATACATATACATATACATATACATATACATATACATATACATATACATATACATATACATATATTTGGATTTGCTGTTTGTAATGGAATGTACATTGGCCATGTGCTTTTGTAGGCTCAATGAAAGGCCTTTCAGAAAGTAGGTATAAATATGAGAATCAGAATGAAGATCTTGATTTGCCATTGTTTGATTTTGCAACAATTGCCCGTGCAACCGATAACTTCTCTCCGAACAATAAAATTGGTGAAGGTGGTTTTGGATCTGTCTACAAGGTAACAACCGATTATAATAGTTTCTTTTGGAACATGTTTGATTGTTTACTGTGACCAAAGCTGCATTTTAGCTTTATGAGTCGATGAATCCTTCTGGTAGAAGTTCCAACAATGAAAATAGGGTTTACGAGAGAATGAGGCTTTGGTGTTTTATTTTCCAGGGTATCTTGGATGATGGTCTAGAAATTGCAGTGAAGAGATTGTCAAAGGGTTCTACACAAGGAGACAATGAGTTCAGAAATGAAGTCGAACAAATCGCAAAAGTTCAGCACCGGAATTTAGTGAAGCTTTTAGGATGCTGCATTCAAACAGATGAAAAGGCTCTGATATATGAATTTATGTCGAACAAAAGTCTCGACTTCTTTATATTTGGTACCATTAATCTAAACCCGAAAACTCTCAAAGTGTTTTCACCACGTAAACACCAGTTATCTGTAAGCAATATAATGATCTAACTTGTGTGAAAATTCTGATCAGATCAAGCTCGAAGCATGTTGCTCGATTGGCCTATGAGGTACAATATCATCAACGGGATTGCTCGTGGACTCCTTTATCTTCATCAAGATTCCCCGCAGCGAGTTATACATCGAGATCTAAAGGCTGCTAACGTATTGCTAGACAAGGAAATTAATGCCAAAATTTCGGACTTCGGTTTGGCTAGAAGTTTTGGGGAGAAACAAACTGCGGCTGATACGATCAGGGTGGTGGGAACATAGTAAGTAAACCCAGGGACTGATTTTAATACATTTTTGAACTTCACCTTGTATGCTTGATTAAACTCGAATTGTTTTCCTGCAGTGGTTACATGTCTCCGGAATATGTGATTGACGGGGTATACTCAATCAAATCCGATGTCTTTAGCTTCGGTGTTTTGCTACTAGAGATAATAAGTGGGAAACGAAACCGGGGATTCTTTCATCCGGATCATCATCTTAACCTTGTTGGCCATGTATGAGTCACATTACAAACTTTCTCATATGCAAATGTTAAATTGGAACGTTACTAATTGACTTTGGTTGCATAGGCATGGAAGTTATTTACAGAAGGCAAATCGATGGAACTGGTAGCGGAACCGATTAGCAAAACCGGAAAGTCCAACGAAATTATACGATCGATTCAGGTAGGTCTATTATGTGTGCAACAAAGCGCGGAAGACAGACCGAACATGTCGTATGTGGTGCTAATGCTGACTTGTGATGATCCATTGCCTCAGCCAAAACAGCCAGGTTTTTTCCTTGAGAGAGATCTGGCAGAATATAGTTCTTCATCAAGCAGTCAAAAACAATTTTTGTCTAATAACTTCACTATAACTGTATTGGATGCAAGATAGACGACAGTTATTGTTGTTCATATTCTACAGTGCTCTTACCATAAGTCCCTTCAAGTTAATTTTTTTAAGAATTTTACAGTATTTGGACATCTCATTTTCTCTTAGGGTCGGTTTGTTTCACATAAAACGTTTTTTGAAAAATATTTTCCTCATTTTTCAGTGTTTGGTTGGAGGAAAACTGATTGGTCAATGTAAAACATAATTTTCTTGAAAATGACTCATGGTCTGATTTTTCGTAATTCATTTTCCGAACTTTTCACTTCAAAGAATAAATACTTAAAATAATTTTATTCTATGAATTTAATATTAATAAAATATTTTAATATTATTTTAATTAAAATATTAATTATTAAAATATTAATTATATTTATTAATATTTTTAATAATATAATATTATATTTTTAATATTATAATAAAATAATCAATTATTATTATAACAATATAAGATATTATAATTTTATTTTAATAATATATAATAAATGTTAATAAATTTATATTACTTATTAATTTCATATAAATAATATTATTAAATTATTAATAATGAATAATATTATTTAATATTAATATAATATTCTAATAATATTTTAATAAAGATATTTAAAATATACTAATTAATATTTTTAAATATAATATAACACTATTATTTTAATAAATAATTAATATAATTTATAATATTTTTATTTCAATAAAATATATCAATATTAACATTTTTATTAATAAAATTATAAAAATAATATTTTAATAATAATAAATTATTTTAATATTTAAAAATAATAATATTAAATTTTATGATAAATAATATTATTTATTATATTTAATATTTATAATAAATAATTTTTAAAAAATTCATTAATTAGTAAAAAAAGAGTTTAAACAAACATATTCTAAACATTTTCTAAAAAATAATTTTTAAAAAATATAATTTATTTTATAAAAATTATTTTTCAAAAATTATTTTCAGTTAAACAAATGTACCGTTAATGCTTTCTTTTTATCCAGATTTCCTTTTAATGTTCTTTTATTTCTATAACGTGTGGTATGCATCAATTACGTGGAATTGAGGAAGTGCATGAAAAGATGTGTTGAAATTTTGGCAGGAAGAAAAGTCTTACATCATTGAATTGTATGGATGGATTTGCAGGTATTTATTTATTGCTCGTCAATGATTCCACGCGGAGTGGTTTAGTTCACAAAAAATAAAATTATTATTGAGAATACAATTTTCAGAGTGGGATTACTTAATATATTAATAAAAATATTATATTATTTTGTTTAATTTGTTAGAAAAATGTAAAATTATATTATTTGATTAAAAAATATATAAGATAAACAAAATATTTTATCAAATTATAATTGATATATATTTTCTTTTCTAACACATATACTTTTTATTATTTTTAACTTTTTATTTCTTTAAAAATATAAAATTATACTTAATTAATATAATAATAAATTTATTTTTAGATATCAATATATTAAGATATGTACATATTTACACATGTGTAAGTATATATTAATTATTACATTTTTTATTTCTTTGAAAAGTCAAAAAAATACTTACACCAATATAATTATGTATTTATTTTTAGGTACGAATATATTGAGAGATGTACATATTTACACCGATGCAAATATGTATTAATTGCTACACCTTTTATTTATTTAAAAATAAAGAAATATACTTACACTAATATAATTATGTATTTATTTTTAGATACTAAGATATTGAGAGATGTAAGTACTTACATCGTTGTAAGTATGTGTTAATTTATATATTTTATTTTATAAAATTCAAAAGATAATTGAGTAAAATAAAAAGATAGATATATCATACATTCTTTTAATCATAATAAACATTAATTTTTACATCATTTCAACATTCACATAACAAAATAAGAATATGAGTACCTAATAAAGCTTGTTGGATCTCACCTGACAAAGTCCTATGTTGTTGATAACATATGATTTAAGGAACAAAGGGAATGATAGTTTTTGAAATATTTCTTTTGTTTTATAGGTATTTATATCTAAGTTGATGGGAATTATTAAATACCTATGAGACGGAGAGGAATAACATTTTTGGGAAAACACCTAAAAAAATTATTGTAAGGAATGCTCTGAAACCAAAAGTAGGTATATGATTTCAAGAAATATTATTTTACTTCCTTAGAGGAAAAGTTGCATCCCCGTCTTTAGAGATAAACAAAATTTTACTCGATTCAAATAAATTAATTTTTTACCTTGATTCAACATTAAAAAATTTAATTTGATTTGATTCGATTCATAATTTCGTAAACTCAACTTGACTATAAAATAATTCAAATAAAATTGGAGTTACAAAATTCGACTTGTTAACCTAACTAACTCAAAAAATTTTGACTTGACCCGATCGAATACTCGCTTTTGTCTGACTCTATAGTTTGTCTTGGATTAACTCTTATTTCCATCCGTGCCTTTCAAGTTAAACTCTTAAAAGCATTATACATAGTAAACCCTAGATATAATCTAGGACAAATGTTATATTTGAAAGGCTGAGGCATAAATTAGGGTGGTTGCATCATTACATTCGGTTTGCTGTTAAAATTGCCGTCAAGACATTAATGATGATTAGTAAAATAAAGAAACAAATAAAGAAACTTTTGAGACATTTTATGCATTCATCATGTTCTGTTATATTTCATGTTGTCATGGTTACGCTTTTGTCCTAAAAGAACAGAAGCAACCGATAAATAAAAGGAATGTGGTAGTAGAGAGTGAAGTAATTCTTGACTAGGTCAAGTGTGACAGAGAAACCTTTGTCCACTCATTTTTTACTGCAAACGCATCGAGACCAGCTCGTAATCCATCGGCAACGCTCTTCGATTTGGGAAACTTGGTTGTGTTAGTAGTCCAGAGGATTTTCTTGTGGCAAAGCTTTGATTGTACATGTGCTACATTGCTTCAAGGGATGAAGCTTGGGAGGGACTTAGTCACAGGCCTGGATCGACCCATTTCATCCTCCTGATGATCCTTCCCCTTGTAATTTTACATATCAGTTTGCAGTCGGAAGATATCCAGAAGTTATACTTCAAGAAATTTCACATTCGGCCTGACCCGTGTCCTTGGAACGGTATACTATTTAGCGCACACCCGGACTAAACAAGTTTTTCACAATTTCTGTTTTGATCAATGATAAGGAAGTATACCACACATATGTGCTTCACAATAGCTCGGTTGAAGATGGTGTTGAGCCATGAAGGACTTTCTGTTTTGGAACTATTTCACTTAAAAAAATATTTAAATAGGAGTCCCAAGGAGCCATCGTTGATGTCCAACATGGATAAAGGTTGAAGTTAGTGATGGAAAATGTGAAGTGGAGAAGATACAAGGTTTGTGGATTTTGGATAATCGAAATCTAATCGATTTCAAATATAATGTTTTGTCACTGTTGAAATCGAGTGTACTTGGAGACAAGAAATAAATAGCAATATGTTACTGGAGTAGCGTCTGTTATATACAGGGACGGAGTTCTCTTAGGGTTTAAAGGGGTCCGATTTTAATAAAATATTTTATATTAGATAAATTTTAGTCTACTGTTATTTTAGTTTATGTAAAAATAAATATTTAAATTAAAATATACAAGCATTTATTATATATTTAATTAAGTAGAACCGAACTACAAATGAATATCTCATGTTCTGAAATTTTATTGTCTAATAACAATTTAGGTAATTTTAAGTTTAAATATTAGACAAATAGACATCATCTTATGAATTTTGAGTTTAAATACTTAGTAAGTCATTATATTTCCTTAAAAAATTCAATATTTCTGCCCCCGTTAATATTTAATCCTGACTCTGTCCCTGATTATTAGTATTGCCTAAAATCGTAATTGCACGAGCACGATACCCATAATAACCGTAATAGTACCCATTATATCTACAATCATAATAAATGTAACACAATTAAAAACATAATCTCAACCACAATTAAAAATCTTGCTTGAAGGTCGTGAGTAAATAACTCTCCATTATTTAAGTAGGTGTCGTAGAGCAAAAGAAGATTGGGAGCATGGAAGTATGCAAAAATTTGTGTTAGGGGTGTGAAGTCAAATAATTCATATAAAATAAAAAAAATATCTAATATATAAGAGAATTTAAAATTTCTAGGGGATGCGACAGCGCTTGCACCCCAACACCCTCGGTCCATCTCTAATTGAGAGAGAAATATAAATTCTAAGAACAATTTGTTTAAGGACACAAATGATTTTTAGAAATAATATTTGAGTAAAATTATATATTAATTTTTTATTAATATAACATGTTATTAATTTAATAAAAACTAATATTAATAATTGTAATATAACTTGTTAATTTTCGTTTATGAAAGAAAAAATATATATCCAAATATGTATTAACGGAGCTAAAAGTTGTTGCTTTTTATTTTATGTTCACAAGGCCGCTCTCTAAATGGCAAATAATAATTTAATACACCTACAAATATACATTATTTTTAAGAGAAAATAACTTCTGTGACCGAAAATGTCTTATAATATACGATTTTAACCAACTTTTTTTGGATTTACGAAAATGACCAACAAATTCGCGAACTCCAATTTCGCAACTCAGTTTCCAAATTCGCAACACGAATCTGTAATTCGTAACACGAATCTATAATTCGTAACACAGAAGTCAAATTCGCAACACAGAAGTCAAGAGGTCAATAGGCGCGTTTATTTTCGCAACATGAATTTTATTTTCGAATTCAAAACACAATATTAATTTCACAACACAAATGTAAACAATATAATCGCAAATCATAACTTAAAACCCTAAATCACAACTCAGTCCCATCTCCATCTCTCACTCTCTACGACGACATCCGTCCCCATCTCCGGGAAATCCGTCTATCTCCATCTCTCAGAGACACCCTCACAACCATTCACGGTCAGAAATGGAAAATCAACCACCGAGGGTTAGTTTTTTTAATTATTTTTATTTTAAAAATTTTGTATTATTATTAGAATTTTCATATTTAAATTGATGATAAATTTACTGGTAATTTCAATA